TTCGGCTTTTGACACACCCCACACCCACACCTACACCCACACCCACACCCACACCCACACCCATACCCACACCCACACCCACACCCACACCCACACCCACACCCACACCCTCAGATTGAGTAACACCAAATATATTTGTAGTAATAACTACACCATAAGTATTTGGACACACAATGTTAAATGATTGACCTAGAAAAGAAGAATTTAGAATTTTCGTTTTCCTCTTTTGTTTTCTTTTTGACATTCAATAAGCAATATGATTTACCTCGACAAATTTGAAAACCTCGCATAGGTGATGAAATACCAAGTAAAACATAAGGAGGTATAGCTGTAGTTTGACTTGGATTCATAGTTGTTATTGTTGGTGGTGTAGGTGGTACAGGCGTTACTGTTCTATTTATATTTGGACAAATATCATTTGAAGGTCGATCAACTACTTCAAAATACATTCTCATTCCACGATATAATGATAATTGTGATGTAACATAATATTGAATAAGAATTGTTGATGATCATAAATATGAATAAGCATACCGCAGTCGAGCACAATGTTGATATGTTTGAACACTATCAACAACATAGACATGATCGCTAACACAAGTTCCCGGTGTTGAACCAATATATAGATCAGTTAACCATAGGCGAATATTTTTATCACTTGGCACACGTATTGCACGAAAACATTCGGTTGTTGTTGTTTGAAATTGTGTTGGATACCCCGGACTTCGTATTATTCCATGATCACTTGTTATTTCTGTATCATTTTGGCGTGCCTTATATTCTTTTGTTGAATCATCCATTGATATTGGGTGTGGGTGCGGGGTGGGTGTGGGTGTGGGTGTAGGTGTGGGTGTGGGTGTGTCAAAAGCCGAATTGAAAAGATTCGAAGCAGAATGCGACGCATTTCGTTCTTGCTTTTAGGGACTCATCAGGTATCTTCAGAATCTAATGCTATATAAATCAAACAATTAGAAAATTAACTAACACCTTATATATTCGATCTAATAATTTATTCTTGTGAAGGAATCATAATAAAGACAGACAAAAAAGAACTGAATTATAAGGTCGAAAGGGGTATAGTTAATGAGTAAATCTCTTTTTGATACATCGCATTAATTTGTGAAGGGTGTGTCAAGAGCTGAACTGAAAAGATTCGAAGCAGAATACGACGCGTTGGGTTTAGGCAGGGGCCGCACGAGCGGGGGGGTGGGGGGTGTACACCCCCCAATAATTGGAAATTTTTGTTTTTTTTTTCAGCGAGGGGAGGGGATTTGGGACGAATTTTGTGTTTGGT